TATCTATCTATCTATCTATCTATCTATCTATCTATCTATCTATCTATCTATCTATTAATAAGTGTTTTACGACACTTGCAACTGCAAAAAGTTCATATGAGCGTGGGGGACTCATTAAACATTGTCGGTTGGTAGGACACTTTTAATTTTGCCCAGGTGGCGGCCGAAGCTTACTTTTGCCGATTTTGGACAACCAAGGGATCTTTAACGTGCGCAACTTGCCCACGGGGCCTCTGAGATTTTTCACTCATACCCGAGAAGGCTAGGTGTTAGACAAGGAGTTTAGAACTTTTAATCTCCTTGGTGTTAGATCTTACCTACCGTAAGATCAAGGGTGTGGCTGAAAGACAGCAGTAAGAAGGAGTCAAGGAGTAACTGTACAGAGGCATCAAAAAGAGTCAGAAGCCCAAAGGATGGGGGAAAGGAGGTGTGTGGGTAGGGGCAGGATGTGGAGACAAAAGCAGACAACAGAACATTGTTAGAAAGCAATAAATGATGTGAAAAGAGACAATTCTACGAGTATCTATATGAGCTCATGCTGCTTCTGTGTGTCCTTTTTCTTTCCCACTTAGTAAAAAAGTGCTAGATGTGTGAAATCATGTTTTAAGAGTTGAGTTCTGTAGATAATATGTATTTGGGGGCCCTCGTGACATTATGGTTAAAGTGTTTGCCTCTCATTCAATAGGTTTAGGGTTCGAATCCGGATAGCGACAGAAAATATTCTTCTCTAAAATGTTCTCCTTCCACCCTGCTCTCCGCCAATGTTCTATCGTCTACTTTCGTCTCCACTTTCTAAATAGCAAAGATGGCGCCGAAAACAAAAAGCTTCTCTAAGTTAGAGCTTTTAAAAAAATGCCAACCTCCTAACTACGGATATTGATGAAACTGTTTTACTGACTGATGCAATTTATTAGAAAATTGGTGCTTGACAACTTGGATACTAACAATAGTTTGTACTGATTGTCAATCAAGATCTGTTTCAAAAGTTGTTTTAACCCCCAAAAAAGCGTGCCTACTTGGGGCAACAAGAATGCATGAAGGTGGTAGGGACGGAGTGAGAGAGAGAGAGAGAGAGAGAGAGAGAGAGAGAGAGAGAGAGAGAGAGAGACTGACACTTATAGTATAATATTATTATGTCACGCAATGGATTTTCATGAGATAAAATAAATAAGTGTATTAGGCGTGCTGCTTTTAAGTGGACCAGAAACTATCAATTAATCATTTTCATTTTCCGTACAGACAGTTTGGTTTTTGCTTTTATTCCATGTAATTGTCAACCCACTGTTGGCTACAAACATCAATACGTTCAACAAGTACTGGGAGGACTCGTGTGCCGCACTGAAATTGCTGGCTCGCCTGACCTGTCTCCCGGACCGTAGTTTGTCCAGTCCATTCATCAAGTGTCAGATCTGGGACGTTCATCGGCAAACATGGTTCTCCAATCATTACTTCGCTCTCTGCTCTAAAAAAAAAAGCTATTTTATGCAAATTTTTCTTCGCCACCCGTCTATATATAGGCTCTCCAAGTAGGTTGATCTGCCTCGTTTACCTTCAGTTTTGCCATTGAGAGCTAAATGTGTTCTTGAATACATTTTAGACACTCAACTTCCCCTTTCTTTTTTTTCTTAGGTGTAAGGAGAAAACACTCAAAAGTTTGCCCACAGTATGTTTATGTTATTTATAGTGTATGCTAACTTCTGATTTATCACAGAGTTCTCCCAGTCCGACAACGGCAATGGTTTTAGAACAGGGACAACAACAACAACAACAACAACAACAACAACAACAACAACAACAACCATTCAACCTTGTGGATTTGGGGTGTAACGAGATGACTGTGACGAAATGGCTGGTTTTCCATAGTTTCACTGTGTAAAACAGCCATCTGTACAACATGGCCACGGACACCGTATTTTATTAATACAAAACAACAACAACAATAACAGCAACAGCAGCAACAACAACAACAACTACAACAACAACAACAACAACAAAAACTGTCTAAGAACGGCCACACAAATCTCACAACACCTGACGCTTTGCCATAAATTATGTGTTGGCCCCTGACGCCGTGGACGAGCCGTCATAATCCTGTCGTTATTGTTAGTCCCTCCATTGTCCGATCATGTTGGGTTGGTACCGCCCACTGCTGTTCACCCAAGTTGACCGCCCGGTGACAATAACTTTTCAGCTGCTGGTGAGAGAATTGTGTGGTCCGTTATAACCTATAAGCCCCGCCCACAACTCATACACAAATCGTTAGTGAGGTGACTGGTCACTGTTTATCCAGTCTTTAGCAATGGACGTGAACATGAACTTGCGAGAGAAGCGTCGATCGTTCTTCGAGTGGGGGCGACCCATGTATTTACAGTCAAACCTGTCATGACGGCCACCTCTATAAGACACCATCTGAACAAACGGTCACTTTATATCCCCCCCCCCCCTTTGGTTTTTACTGTATAATTTAACTGTGTAAAACGGCCACCTGTCTGTCCAGCGCAGGTACAGCCACTGTATTTCAACGCACAACTCCTATCACACCAAATAATAACACCTGTCTTAGACAGCCACCTTAGTGACTCCATTACGTTTGGTCAAAATAATTCATTGGCGCTGTGGGCGAGCCGTCATAGTCCAATCACCTGTCGTTGTTGTTAGGTAGTCCCTCCAACTGATCATGTTGCGTTGGCCCCTCCCACTGTTGAACCCATTGGTAACAAATTTCCAGCTGCTGGCGAGGTAGCTGTGTGCTCCATCATAACCTAGGCCTTCTCAGGGACTGAGGAAGCCTAGCTCATGACCCATAAACCCCGCCCACAACTCATACATAAATCGTAAGTGAAATGAGTGGTCACTGTTTATCCAGTCTGTAACAAAGTAACAATGGACGTCAACATGACATTGCGACAGAAGCGTCGCTCGTTCTCCGAGTGATGGCGACCCATGTGTTTGTTTGGGTTTTTTGGTGTTTTTTTAAAGTAGGTTTTACGGCGCTCGCAACTGCACGCCTACCACTAAAAATCACAACAATTGAGCCATATTGCATACTACAGTAGTCTAACAGGTGAACAAGAGTTTGCAGATAGTTTTTATCAAGTTTCTTTTGCCTGCTGTGATCATGGACATGATAAGTAAAGAGCAGAGAGCTTTTGTATTGAACATTTCCTCACCGCCAGCTCATTTCGTAAGTTTCGCCCAAGGTACAGAAATAATGTTAATGTGCCTTTAAGGCATTCTTGGATGTCAAGGGCGGAAATGGTTCATCAGATAGTACCTGTGGAGAATCAGAACAAAAAATTCCCAGACAAAACGATCATTTCAGGTCAAACACATTCACAGGTTGCAGAATTCAGTAGATGAGCCCCATGAGACATCTGTCCGTAGACGATGTCTGCTGCAATGAATTTCCTTCATCTCAACGGTCCACATTCTCAAGGCCGCTATTCATCTACGACTGTACCATTATCCCGTTCGTGAAACTATCTGAGGATAGCAATGTATTTATCATTCCTCGATCGTCTTGAAAAACGTTGACATTTCCTCTATGGCATTTTGGTTCCTTGGCAAAGCCCATATCCACTTTTCAGATTATATCAACTCCACAAATGCTGTCTATTTTGGGCAACCTAACCCCTTCCCCCTATTGTCTCAAGAAACAGCTCCTTACTGTAAGGTGTAACAGTGTGTGTGGCTTTGAGGACTCGTGGTGGAGTGGATCCTTGTGTTTGGCCACCACTGAACATTCGAACAACGCGTCAAAATGTGTTGAGTCCAAAGGAGGACACACAGACCATTGGTTCTCGGAATTCCAGTATTTAAATAAAATTCAACTCTCTAAGAGAAAAGAAATATTTTTTAAAGTTTACAAGGATGGAAAAGTTAGATTTTTTAAAATAAAAGGAAAGGAAAAAATCAAACGAATCATTTCATGACTTCTCTTATAAGATCTTTTACATTGGTGCATTTTGCATTTATAGTTGGTTTTTAGAAAAGTCATTTCCGTTTTCAACAATACGTGTCTTCTTTGTGAATTTTATGTCACACAAATTCCTTATGCGGGAATTCTATCTCTTCCACATTGTAACATTCTAGTGCACAGTTTGTGCCAGATACTTAGAAAAGAATGTGTACAGTTTTGTTTTGATCACCCTGTATAATATACTTAATGAAAAATAATCACGGAATTGGAGTGGAATAGCGTTTATTGAAACATCTTTGGAGTGAACTTTTGGAGTAATTGTAGTTGTAGTTGTAAATGTTTTACGCCCCCATGGAAATATATAAGGTCATTCAGGACGAGGTCTGCCTCAACGCTGCCAGCCCTGATTCAGGAGGATACAACGCCCAAGCAGACGGACGGAAATACTTGTAGTTTTTTTATATTTCCCCTCATGGGAATTGAACTTATACCCTCTGCATGCACCGGCAGAACGCCTATCAATAAATAGCATTTGTGTAGCGCATATCCCCGCTCGACAGCAAGGTCCAATGTGCGTTTTACACACTATATTATAACCCCAGCAGACCATAGAACACTCTGAAACATCCTCAGTTTCCCGGGAAGAAAACAGTCCAGTGATAAAAATTTCGTGTAGAGTTCCTTTCCCATGGACACAAAGTCGGGCCCCTGACGGGATTCAATCCCATGACCTTATATAATACGGTTGCAAGTCTGAGAGCTTAACCATTGAGCCACTGCAAAATAGCCTAACATTTTGATTTTTTTTTTAAAATCGCGGTTTCGTCTCCTCTTTCTGCCCCCACCCTCTCTCCTCCTTTGCCCTCTCCTCTGGGCTCCTCACTCTTTCTGCAGCCTTTCTACTGCTACTCCTTGGCTCCTTCTTACTGCTGTCTTTCAGCCGCACCCCTGATCTTCTGGTAGGAAAGATTTACACTTAGCCTTCTTGGACAAGAGCGAAAAATCTCGGAGGGCCGTTAAACGTTACAGATCCCTTGGGGGTCTAAAATCGGCAAGAGTAGGCTTCGGCCGCCACCTTGGC